CTCATCTACTTCACTCCCCCCTCGGATCTTCTTCATTCCTTCGCCGTTTTTGCGGATCGAGATGCCCCTTGCTCCAGAAACGTAAGCTCCTCCCATCCCCCCAATTACTTTGAGTCAAATAACTCCCCTTTTTTGGTGCGTAACAATGATTTATGTGTTCATGTTCATGTTAAAAATCATAATGAACCCTAGTTTAGTTGATATGATGAAACTAGGTGATTGCATCTAGATAATACAAGTTAGGTGATGATCCTTGGTGATGAATCATGATGAACCCTAATCGATTTTTTGACCAAATGGTGAACTCTAATTCATATTTCTAGGTTTAGATTTTTTGTAAGGTGATGAACCCTAATTGATTTTTCTAGATAATACAAGTTAGGTTTAGAAATTTTGACCATATGATGAACCCTAGGTTTAGGTTTTTGACCATGTGATGAACCTTAGGTTTAGATTTAGTTTTTGTAGATGATGAAACTTAATTTCTGTGATGCATCCATATGTTTAGGTACCCGACCTTCCCCAAGCACACCTCGTCTGCCATGCCGCTGCCGTACGTGTACGAGTCCTTCCCCAAGCTGCTGCAGACGGTGGGATCTGTCTCAGACGAGGTCCTAGGGGCGAGGAGGGCAAGGCGGTGGCAGGAGAGGGCAGAGCGGATCTTCGATGATGTCAAGTGTTGGGCGCAGAGTTTGAAGGAGTGGAAGCGTGTGATGGCAGAGATGGAGACAGATCCAAATATCTCCCGTCTCCGCCGGGAAGAGACCATTGAAGCTGCCAAACAACACTCCAACTGGGAGCTGCGCAATTTAGGCCGGAGAATCTACTTCGAGAACACTGCGGAGGAGAGAGCCTGGATGCCGCCCACAAATGCATCGGCTTTCGACATCATCAACTGGGGAAGAGCGGAGGCGAAAACTCAAGCGGGCAAGGCAAGGTGGGAGTGCATGAACGGTCGGATGCCGACCAGCGTTCCGCCTCCGCATGAACCGGTGGATCCGATGCCTTATCTGTCTCCACGACCAGGCCTAACATACGAGGAGGTCTAAACTTGTCTGAAGAACTTGTTGCATCGTTTGTTGGCTATTTGCTACTTATGAAACTAATTGTCGTTAGTTGGGGTTGTCAATGTGGACAAGTTTGCTATTTTGCTACTTATGAAACTATGTGGACAAGTTTGCTATCTGGCCCCTTTATTAAGTTTTTCAAGTTGTGAAACTTTATTAATATGTGAGCTCATATTTTTTTGCTATTTTGCTACTTATGAAACTTATGAAACTTTATTAATATGTGAGCTCATATTTTGCTATTTGTGAAACCTGTGATAAAACTTTACAAAAGAAACAAACACTAAAACTTGTAAAAAACCAAATCCACAAGACCTACCGCCAAACCACCTGGCGGTAGGGTTCAGTACCCTACCGCCATGGACCATGGCGGTAGGCCCTTGTCGACGTCAGCACGAGCAGACGGCCGTCAGCCGCCGTCAAGGGACCTACCGCCAGGGAGTATGGCGGTAGGTCGTGCAAGCCTACCGCCAGGTGGCTTGGCGGTAGGCAAAAGAGTCAAATCTTGAAAAAATTCAGAGGGGGTCAGATCCTGAATTTGTTAGCCAAAAGGGTCAAAACACGAAATTTAGCCCCACCGTGCTCTTGTGTTCATGCAGCGGAAGAGAACGGCTAGACAGAACACAGAACACAAGCTCCGGAGCTAAGTACGAACAATTTATGTAGCTCGATCGAGAAACGAGCCGATATTAGCTCACTCGATTATAACTCAATAGTTTGATATCATATAATTATATTAAATAATCTTGATATATTAAAATAAAATAGAATATTTACTGCCATATATACTGTGTAAGATTTTTCTTTATTTTACCTACTAGCAAACATGAAATCTTAATTAAGCACAAAATAAAAAGTTTAGCCTTAATATTATTTGTGGTCAGTCATGTGTTAAATTTCATGTTATTCATGGTTAAAGTTTGACACCTTCATATTTTATCTTGCTGGTTCATTCAAGATCTCTTGATATTAAGTACTCGTCTTCGGTTGAGAGAAAATAAGTAAAAATTTATAGTGATTTCTAATATTGTGCTTTCGCCTATCTTGCTTGAAAAAATATCTTAAATATTAAGAAAATCATCTTATTTAGCTTCAATCTAGCTCTAGATTGACTAGAGATCAATACAAGCTGAGCATAAGCCATTTTCTATAGCTCTACCTTGAGCTTCACTTGATTTGAGCTCGCTCAAATTTTAGTATAAACTAAGCTTAGCCTAGTTGAACTCCCTCAAACTTGACTCATTTGCATCCCTAGGCGCAGTGGACGGTATCACGGCCTGCTCGGTCCTACTCGAACACGCTGCAGCTTGTACACGGCGCATGCACCTGAGTGAGGCAACTCTGCTATTTGATTACACGCGGATCCACCATGTAAGGGCATCTCCAACGCGGCAACGCCAACCCCCAAACAGTCTGGATGCAGTTGTTCGGACCTCACAAGCCATCCAACGACGACCCGCACCGGTCTGCGGAGTCGTTCGAACCGTAATTTTGCTTCAAACCGGAACCAAAGTGGGCGGGCAGGGAGATGTTTGAGATCATACATGATGGAGGCGAAGGAGGATATTTCCCTGAGGAAGGGCAGGCGGATGATTTGGAGCCCACCCAGGGCGGTTCGTACATTCAGATGTTTAATATGTTGATGGTGGCAACTGAGAAGAAGCTCAAGCTCATAGAGAAGAAGGTTGAGATCGTAGCCGCTTCGAAAGACGCGAAGATGTTGACCTTGAAGATTGAGGATTTGGATGACGACGCAAGGGTGATCGTGCAAGCCGTCTGTTTCGAGATGTTGAAGCGGCAGTAGGAAGAGCTGGAGGTGGAGAAGGCGACGGCAGAGAAGGAGGCGATAGAGAAGAGGGCGGGTGAGACGGCGGAGAAGGGGGCAGAGGCGGCGACGTGAGATTGAGTGTGGAGGCTCGGGTTGCCCCCTTTCAAGAGTTTGGGGTTGCTTGGGTGTGACGTTGGGCCAACAAGCAGTTCAACAGGGTCTAGATCGCAGGTTTCATCAACGCCGTCGGTCGTTAGCAGGCCCGATCCAAGCCGTTGGTTGCCTCCCCGCGTAGACTGAAACCTCCACCCACCGCGCTCTTCTGTTCACGCCGCGGAAGAGGACAGACAGACGCACACAACACAAGCTCCGGCGCCGGTCATCCTCCCCCATCCCGACCCTCCACCGCCACACACTTCTCAGAAAGAAAAAGAAAAATCGCGCCTTGCGCTCCGCCATGGCCGCCGCCTCCCTCCTCGAGCCCGCCCGCTTCATCTCCCCGCACCACCCGCGCTCGCTCCGGCCCCCGCCCCGCCGCGGCCCGCACCACCTCCGCCCCTCGCCGCTCCCCGCCCGCGCCCGCTTCCCGCGCCTCCGCGCACACCCGGCGTCCCCCATCCCCCCGTGCCACGCCGCCGCCGAGCCGGCAGCGAGACCGCCGCCGCACCCGCTGCTCGACGCGCTCAGACGGTCCCTGCTCGACTCGCTCGCGGCGCTCAGGAAGCCCGCGCTGGCGCTGCTCCTGGCCGGCGCGCTGCTCGCGGCCGCGGCGCCCCAGCACGCCGCGCTGGCGGCCTCCGGCGGCCGCGTCGGCGGGTCCGCCTTCTCCTCCCGCTCCTCGCGCTCCTCCCCGTCCCCGTCCTACGGGTACGCCGCGCCGGCGCCCAGGATGGGGGGAGGAGGGTACTCCTCCGCGCCCTTCTACTCGCCCTCGCCCTTCGTGTCCGTCGGCCCCGCCTTCGGCATCGGCTTCGGGGGCTCCGGCTTCCTCCTCACCCTCGTCGGCTTCGCCGCGTTCCTCTACCTCGGTGGCTTCCTCACCGACTCCTCCGGGGGCGGGAGCGTGCTCACCGACACGCAGAAGACCACCGTCCTCAAGCTGCAGGTTCCTAATCCTTCCCTTTCTTCTTCTGTTTTCGACCGATTTTTTGCCTGAGTAATTCACATTAGCATAGATCGGTTGATGGACTCAACACTCTTCATATGTTTGCACGAACAATATGCAAATGAGTTGTCGATAGCTTGGTTACTGTGAAATGTAAACCACTTCTTGATTTGGCGCACCATGTCTAGATGTCTGCATAAAACATTGCTTGAGCATGCCATCTTGATTTAGCATGATCTTGGTTAACTGATACGAGTACACTAGAAGCCGTGTGTGCCTAGAATTGATATCTGTGGCTATTTGGTATTTTGGTTATAAATTATTCCGACTGTTCCTCAAATGAATTGTTGATAAGCTGGTTACTGTTAATTGTAAACCACTTATTCAAATGGATTGATGGTACACTGGTTATTGCAATATCTAAACCACTTCTTGATTTGGGCACTATTTCTATATGTTCTGCATAAAACATTGCCTAGACTTGACATTTGTGGCTATTTGGTTCTAAATTGTTCTGACAGTTCCACAGTGCTAACTTCTTGGATTCTAGATCCATCAATGGTTAAGGCTGTATTAAAAAGACTTAGCTTTTGTGTGTACATCTTTAATAAGGTTAGAAACTTTCGGAGCAGGTCCAGCTATGTTGTTCATTCTGTGATCTTGTCATCTTGATGTATGTTGGTGGCTGTACTGTGATGCAACTGATGACATAATCATGCAAATGAGATAATGTCAACATTATTCATGTCATGTAATTTAGAATCCTAATTTGTTTGGGTAAAATGAGGGCCTTATACCACTAATTGTCCTTCCTAACATATAAACGAGACTGCATTAGGATTAGCTGGTGATGCGGCACTGTTGCCATATCATGGAGAATTTTAATTCATAAGAGCTATGGTACAACAAAGATATCATTAGCAGTTCTTTGTTTGATTTATTGCACACTTGCCTCTGATTGGCTGATAGTATGTTTATCTTCTAAAGCTGACTATGTAGTGTTGCTTTCCAAACCGTGATAAGTACATCATATATGTTGTTTACATCGTACTGTGCTTAGATGTATAGCAATTGGTAATTGCCAAATCAGGGCTTCTGCTGGCAGCTTTAATTTGTTTATTGGTAATCATGCTGACATTAGGCAATCAGAAATGCTTGCTAGCATTAATCTTTTTATTATCAGTAATCATGCCAACGTTACTCACAATGTATGTAGATGTACAACAAATTCACTGACACTTAATCCACATAGCATAGTCCTTTATTTATCTGTGGAAGCAGTCCATTTTAATTTCCTAATCTGTATGTTGAAATATGTTCCTAGGTTGGCTTACTAGGCATGGCCCGATCATTTCAAAAGGAGCTTGATCAAATAGCCGAGAAAGCAGATACGTCAACCCCGGCTGGGTTGAGCTTTGTACTAACAGGTAAAACCAGTTAATGTTTGTTGCTTCATTATACCACTTCAAGTTATGGTATAAATATTAGCCGACAGCATAATTGTTGTGTGACAATTTTTAGTATTGGCATGTGAACTCAATTTGCTATTGTGTTAGCCTTGTGATCTAAGATGGTTTCTCTGTTTTTTCTCGTCTGAGTAGTCTGGTTCTTGGGCTCTGTGCCCCTTGGTTTGTTTGGAAAGGTTGTTTTCATACTTCAGTAGACCCAATATCTATCTGTCATGGAAACTGGGGGGTAATTTTGGCCTCCGGTCTCTCGACGTATAATTCTGTTTCACGGTTTTATTTCGCAGAGGACACATATCTCCTCATATATACAATAAACATGGTGATGATAAATTGCATCACATTATGCTTCAGAATCAAGCATATTGTGAAGATTTGTTATTTTCATAAGATTTTAACCCTTTTTCTTCTGCAATCAATCTAACTATTTTGTTGTTGATATGGTGTCTTCCAGAGACAACATTGGCATTACTTCGGCATCCAGATTGCTGTATCTCAGCTTATTCAACAGTAAGCACACTTAGTTCTTTATTTATATTCAGTTTATGTAGCGTATGTATTTTTTTCAATTCACTGGTAGTCAGTCATATTCGCCAATGTTTCATCACCGAAAATATATATTCGCAAATTTTGAATAGTACACTATACTTTCGTACTTAAGTTCGTAGGTTGCCTAACATCCCATACAAGCACTATATCATGTAATTGATCTCTTTTTTGCCAACCAAGGAAAGGAGTTCTGCCTGTCTTCTTAGCGAGATTTTATAGATTTGGAATTCGGTAAATTTCTTGTTCGGATTTATATTTCTTAATCTCTGGTATTATTCACTTTTTCTCAAGGTGGATGTCAAACGAAGCATGGATGATGGGGAGAAACGTTTCAATCAACTGTCAATTGAGGAACGAGGCAAGTTTGATGAAGAGACACTCGTGAATGTGAACAGTATCAAGAGGCAAAAAGCAGGCACTCAAAGATCAAGTGGTTTTAGCAACGAGTACATTGTGGTATGCTTTTTAAATATTCAAATTAAATGGTAGCAGTCTTTGATGTTTATATCTCATACTAGTACTGATATTTGGGACCTTCATAATATGTAGAGCTTCACTTATTCTAGTCCTTCCTACCTACTCCCTCCGTCCCATAATATAAGAACGTTTCATTTACTGTGGAAATATTCTCACCCTTGTTGCAAATTTGTTAGCTGCTAATGGTAATCATCATTTCATATCTGAAATTGTTTATTACTTATTTGTAGATTACCATATTGGTTGCTGCTGAGGGAGTGTACAAGCTACCTACTATAAACAGCAGCAGTGACCTGAAGACAGCTCTACAAATGCTTGGTGGCGTACCGTCAAGCAAAATAATGGTATTATCTGCTTGTTTCTTTTCTTTCTTAATGCCTTGTCAACTGTACTGGAGTCAAAAGAATGTAAACCAGCGGCAACCTGGTTACAGTAACTAAAATTAACAATGCTTTGTAATAGATCTGGTTAGGCCCACCACAAATTTTGCACTCCACTAGCATCAAAAAATCTGACATAATCGCGTTGTGTGCACTCAATGAGCAAACATCTTGTTAGGTTTTTTCTTGCAATGCATGCTGTTATCCACCTTTGGTTGATTTGCTGAGGCTATAGCAATAGTGTTTAACCATTTCCATTGACCTCCTTCATAGGCGGTCGAGGTCTTATGGACACCACAAAATGAGAACGACACATTGTCGGAGCGGGAACTCCTGGAAGATTACCCACTTTTGAGGCCCCTATAGAAGGATTTAAGATGTGTACTGCCCTGCCCTGCCCCTGTAAAGGATTCATTTTTGACAGTCCAGCTTGTTAACTATAGCTCAGGTTTTGTGTTTGTAAAAATATAATTGTAAATGAAGTCACTTGCACTTAGCAGCTACTTACATGAAAGTTTGCTCAACGCAACAGCGCAGCATTCAGAATCTGACATAGTATGATAGTATCATTCAGTTTTTCTGATGTGACCCAAGTTTGTAAGCAAGTTTCTTCTGCATGAACAGATTAGTCGTATCACCGGTTTGTCGCGTGGCATTTCATTTACCACTGAATCATGTCAAGAAACAGTTTGTCGCGCGGCATTTTATTTACCACTATGAATCATATCAAGAAACATTCGTGAAGAAACGAATATAATGACAAACCGGCAGATGAAATGGTTATCAGGCTAAGTATATAGAGTACAAGAGTAACAATCCCAAGTAGAAATTGCATATGTATCCTCACATTGTAACAGTACCATTTGCAAGCAGACAATGCCAAACAGTATCCACTCAGGCACATCCACCACTTCAGTTTTTAAGACAGCGCAGTTCGTGGTTTTGTATGAGCAGCGCTACTTAGGATTTAACAGATGAGCCACGCAGCACGCGCGTTATACAGAAATTCTCAGCATCGGAAACAGCACAACAGTAATAAGCAGCAGCAGTCATAAGCAGGAAGTCCGAAATACCCGGAACACAGCATTCGATAGCAAGAAACAGTGAAACATATAACCATGAAATAGGGGGTCATAAACAGACTAGTCCACATCTGGGAGAATTTGCAACACAGTTCTCGAACCGAAACGTATTGCGATTACATAGTGACAGTACTCGGAAACAATTGACAGGAAGGGTTCAGCCTCCACCCAGCCAAATGACCACCGACAGGGCCAATCACCTCAGGCAATTGTTGCTACTGCTGCGGTTGCGGTTGCGGCTGCAGGACTGTCACCTCCGATCTCACGCCTAGCATAGTCCCTGGCGCCATCCTTGTCCACGATCTTGATGGCGAAATTCTGAGGCGCGACGACCAGCCGGAGTCTGATCTCCTTGATGCACTTGTCAACAAGGTCTACCGCTTCCTCGACAGACATGTCAGGGCGGTACAACTTGTCCATCAGCGACAGACAGAAGTACGACCCGTACCCGAATGCTCCCTTGTCGATCTTGTGGAGCGTCGCGATGTAGTCAATGTAGTACATCGATGCACCAGCGTCTTTATCAAACCCTGCAAGTATGATGTTTACGGAGTAGGGATTCTGCAAAATGAAACAAAGACATAATGTCAGAGGAAGAAACACGAATCTGTCAAGAGAAAAATATGAATATGTCGCTACCAAAATCAGTTGATGCTGCATTTGAGTTCAACTAGAGCTCTACAGCAGTAAGTAGTAACCTCACTCAGAAACTAAGGCAAATGGAAAAGGTGGAACGGAGGTGCTGACAAAGTAAATGCAATTATGTTACAAATGGAATAGTTAGGTGGTGTAGCTCGAGCCTGCGCTAAATATCAAAAGTTTTTAATCTGTAAATTGCAGCCAAGATTTCTCTCTAATAAACCTCCAACTAGGAGCCAAACAACAACAAAATGGAAGACGGAGAGTGAATGTGCTAACTTCTGAGTTATGCACTTGGTGCAAGTTAAAATATTGCAACATCAGAAATCATGTCAAGTTTCATCTGGGTATATCACAAGTTCACAACCATCTTTAGTTGAATATGAATGAACAGTGAAACAGCATTAAGCCGGTATCTGTAACATACAAGAAAACATGCAGCATTGCAGAATTCCAAATCAACTCCATGTCACCAGATCCGTATATTGCAAAAAAAGCATCCACACCATGAACAGATGGCCCATAGGAAAATCAAAGACAGTTCAGAAGGTGCATTAACACAGGTGACATCCACTACACATTTGCTAAGTGTACTCTAGAACAGTTCTTCTGTATTATCATGTAACGTTGCTCTCTGATCCTAACAATGGAAACATGCAATCAACTTGAACTAGCATAGATGCATATTTATTTATTAGAAAGGGGAAAACATCATCCTTAGTAGTTACAGCCCATATGCAGAATATAGAGTTGGGGAATCCCATCTAATGTAGAGGTGTTCTGGCTGGCCTTAACTTTAACCGGCATAAACACAGCGCACAACAGACATCTAATTTTTCCAAAAAAATGTTTGACAAACAAATAACAGACAGTATTCATCAGCAAAATGTAAATACAAACAAGAAAACCTACAAGGCTACACAATAGTAAGGCATAAGCCCCCATTTAAGTCAGCGACAATCCCCAATCACATACCCAGCCCGTCGAACAACGGGTCTAAACCAGACAGGTAACCTGAACAAACCCTAAGAAAACAGAACCGGTGTAAGATGGAGCTATCGCCTATGATAAAGGTGGGATAGCAAACCCTAGCCCCTCCCTGTGACACTCAACGGCAATCCACATCAGAAAAGTTAGATAGCATAAGAGAAATCAGGGCTGTGTCTGCACCTTGCGCAGGGCGGTGGCGAGCTCGCCGCGGGTGAAGTTGGCGGTGGCGGCGGTGCTGAGCGGCATGTTGTTGCGGAACTGGTAGAGGTGGAGGTTCTTCTGGATGAACTCGGTGAACTGCACGCTGTTGGTGCCGCCCGACGCCCCCACAGAAGAAAAAAACAAAGCCAGATCGGGTCAGATCGAAGAAAAAAGCGAGACCAGAACCGCCGGGGAGCGGATCGACGGCGGGCGCGGCGGGGAGGGGTGAGGTCCTTACCGGTCGCCGGGCTCCCCGGAGGCGCCCATGAGCTTGTGGGAGTCGAGGAGCATGATCTTGTCCTCGTCCGTCTTGTGGACGAGGATGCTCTGCACGGCGGACGTGTCCGCCGCCACCACCGCGAAGTCGCTGCCCACCACGCCGATGACGCACTCCATCGCCGGCGACGCCGCTGGGGTTCGGTCGGGGAGGGGGTGGGATTTGGGGGACGAGCGAGCGAGCAGACGGCGAGAGAGAGAGGTTGTAATTTGGGGGGACTGGAGTCGAGCCCGGCTTCGGTCCCAAGAAAGAAAGCAACGAGCCGAGAGAGTCACAGAGACGAGGACTTCGGGCCAGGGTGGGCTGGGCCGGGCCGCCTTGCGGTATCGGCCTGTGGCGCTGGTGCATGCAGCTGTGTGTGTTTTTGTTGCCTCAAAAGAAAAAACTGTGTTTCCCTCAAAAAAAAAAAACTGTGTGTGTTTTTGTTTTCCTTTCTTTCCTGCTTGGAGTTGACGATGAGCTCACATGTGAAACCAACAATCCAGCGATAAACAGATGCGCCTCTATCCAACATTGGGGGAATAGCAACATTCCAATAACATACGTAAAGTCTACTCACACGCGGGATCCAACACAAACAAACAAACACATCACTACTTTCATGCGAGGTCAGCGCTTACAAAATGGATAAGTAACAAATGCATAGATGCGACTCCAAATCGATATGATGCCTTTGTTTTCTCTTCAACCAGGTTATTTCAACATTTGCAAAAAATAGAATAAAAAACAAATGCATAAACGCACCAAGAGCAGACCGTCCCCGAGGATAATTGGAAGTGCGAGTAATCCCCGGGTGATTTTGGTAATTAATAACAACGCATATGTCATCGATCTAATAATCATTGATGATAGATTTCAAAAAAGATCAATGATTGGCATGGCATGGACTGATGGATATGGACCCCTCAAAGTGTGAAGGTCAAGATTGGCTACCCCAAGACTCTACATTTTTGGTTTAGTGATCCAAGATCATATTGAGTCCCTTAGAAAAGTCGATACTATTAGAAGGGGATGAGGTATTGTTGATGAGGTTGTTGCTCAAAGTGTTTAGTGATATTGCTTCAAAAACCCTCAATCACTTTCCCACAAACACATCTGTCCAAACCCTAATTCCTCATTTCGGTCCACCGATAGTGTCCATTCCGGACCCACCGAGATGATCATTCTTCCGCAAGAGTGAAACCCTAACAAACCGGTCTGACCGAAATGGTTCTCGATCCCACCGGGATAGCCTTGCCAACTCTCTGCCATCTGTTGCAATTATTTCAATCTAACCGAGTTTTGCAATTGGTGCCACCGAGATGGCTTGCCAAGTCTCTGTTGCCTTATTGTGTTGCTTCAGTCTCACCGAGATAATGCAATCGGTGCCACCGAGATGAGGTTTTACCCTAGCCATTGCACTTCAGTCTGACTGAGTCGGTATAGTCGGTCTCACAGAAAAGCCTAACGATCAAGTCTTTTGCACTACTCGGTCTCATCGAGATTTTCATATCGGTGCCACTGAGTTGGGTCAAAGACTTGTAACGGTTGGATTTCAGGTGCTGCCTATTTATACCCCTCCACCACCACTTACTCTCATGAGAGAGCCATCAGAACGAAACACAACTGCCACCATTCATTTTCTGAGAGAGAATCACCTACTCATGTGTTAAGATCAAGAGATTCCATTCCTACCATTTGAATCTTGATTTCTAGCCTCCTCAAGTTGCTTTCCACTCCAATCCTTCTCCCACCCAAGCCAAATATGTGTGAGAGAGATTAAGTGTTGAGAAGACTATCATTTAAAGCACAAGAGCAAGGAGTTCATCACCAACACAACATATATTACCTTTTGGAGAGTGGTGTCTCCTAGATTGGTTAGGTGTCACGTGGGAGCCTCCAAAATCATTTGGAGTTAAACCAAGGAGTTTGTAAGGCATCGCCTACTTCGTGAAGATCTACCTGAGTGAGGCTAGTCCTTCGTGAACGTAAGCCATGGTGGAATAGACAAGGTTTGCTTCTTCGTGGACCCTTCGTGGGTGGAGCCCTCCGTGGAATCGAGCAACTGTTACCCTTCGTGGGTTGAAGTCTCCATCAATGTGGACGTGCGATAGCACCACCTATCGGAACCACGCCAAAAATCTTCATGTGTTCATTTCATTTGAAATCTCCAAACCCCTCTTTTACTTACATATGCA